TCGCTACATGCAATGGGCTAGTTAATTTCCCTCGGTCCCCCGCAACTGAATGGCTTTGATTCCAAGAAAATTAATTAGAAGGGCCTAATAAATCGAGACGTGTTGTTGTGGCTGAGAGGCCTAATAAACTCGAACGGAGGGAGTAGTACCAAGACTCTGATACCACTTGTTAGAATAATCTGACGTACAACTGATTCATCAAGGGACAAGCAATCACAGCACAATGACGACACCGAGATTTTATAACGAGGTTTGAAGAACTCGCCTATTCCCGGGGCAATGGCTAGTTGACTACGGGCAATCCTCCTCGAGATACGACAACACCGAATGTACTAGGTGCTGGCACATGCCGCCGGCTCCTCCCACGTGCATGTCTCTATCTAGTCATCGTCGGTTACAACATGGGGTACCTCTCATTATATAAGAGGCCAAGGGTATAAACTGTTCGACTCCAACATTACATGTATTCTGCCACTCTACAACATAAGTCCAATCTAACCTGACCTTGTACATACTATTCGACACAAACTCATTAGTGTTGAAAAAGGCACGACGGCGACACACGATTGGTCTAGCTTGCGGGAGGCTCTACCACAGACGCTTTCGGAATATCCGGACACTGTGTCGTGGAGGATCACCCCGACGATGGAGTTCTCGGTGAGCTCGGCATACCATGCTCTGTGCCAGGCACCAGCCACACCTTGGTTAGCGAAAGCCCCCGCCCCCCTGAAGATTAAGATGTTTGGCAGCTACTATGAAATCGCCCCCCCTCGGGGATAGAGGTTCTTAAGCGACACGGCCCCGGGAACGGCCTGTGCCCCCTTTGCGCGCTACCGGAGACGGAGACACATATCCTCTTCGCTTGTACTGCTGCAAGGGTGATTTGGACGTTCGTTTACGAGGCGCTGGGACCCGAATGAGAGGCCCTGGACCTTGCGGACTTCCTTCAACATAGGGCTACCCATCTGCCGCAACATCGCCGCCTTTTCTGCCTAGTTTTTGCGGCGATGACATGGACACTTTAGACGACTCGTAATAAGATGGTGATTGAGAAGGTCTTCTCGGCAAAGGCATATGACTCCTTCAAATTCCTTGCTTTTATGCAGCACTGACACCCGCTCTCGAGGCAGTGTGACCGTACCCGCCTCGGCCACATGATGGATGCGCTTCTGGCTACAGCCCGTCGTCTCTCAGCATCGTAGTGTCGCTTCACGACTGCCACTAGGTTGCCTTTTTCATATTATTTTTTATGTTTTCTTGGACATTGTTGTGTTGTGGCCCCAACCGTTGGTTTGTAACTTGGGATTTGCTTGACTGTTGTACGAAACTTTGCTTTATCTATAAAGTGAGACGAAAGCCTGTTTTGAGGAAGTGACACACGATCAAAAGCCTATTTCGAGGAAGTGACACACGATCAAAGAAGGGGGAGCTCAAAGGGGGAGAGGGAATTGATACCGTTTTTCTTATTGTGGGGACATGTTACGAGGTTGAAGCTCTCACAGCTAAACAGAAACTCGGATACATCACAATGACATTCCCAGAAATCTTATCTAGCTGCGGGGCCACTCACCAGATCTAGCACCCTCCCACTCTGCGTACTCTGGCTTGCAGTGTCACTGTTTTCCCCATACCCGTCGCCACTTCCGGCGTACGAACCGTGCACCCTCTCGCAGCCTTCTTCCAGCTCCAAGCTCTCCTTGAGCTGGACGACGACGTCGGCCATGGCGGGCCTCTGGCTGGCCGCCTGCTCCGTGCACCTCAGGGCCAGGTCGGCGACCTTCCAGACGGAGTTGAGGTCGTACCGCCCCTGCATGTTGTCGTCCACGACGCTCTCGATGTCGCCCTTGGCGAGCCTCTGCCGCGCCCACTGCACGATGTGCACGCTCTCCGGGAGGATCGGGGGCTGGCCCGTGACCACCTCCAGCAGCACGATCCCGAAGCTGTACACGTCGCTCTTCTCGCTGAGCTGGAACGAAGTGTAGTACCTGCAGAGTACGTGTTGTGAGAGTCTCAGAGAGCACTTTTTACTACCACTTCAGTTTGCTTCTCTGTGGTTTTGGTTAGTGGAGAAGAACGTACTCGGGGTCGAGATATCCGGGGGTTCCCACTACTCGCGTGGAGACATGGGACTGGAGGTCGTTGTTGAAGGCCTTGGACAGGCCGAAGTCGGCGATCTTGGCCTCCAGGTTGCTCCCGTTCAGGAGTATGTTGGCCGCCTTCACGTCCCTGTGGATCAGCGGCGGCGTGCACGCCTTGTGCAGGTACTCAAGGCCTGCACATCAGAAAAAGAACATTCAGTCAAGTTGGTTTCTGACAGAAAAGAGAAGCAGGTGTGCTGAAATAAATTATGTCTGGTAGTAGCTTGGAAACCTTGGGCAGAGTCGAGCGAGATCCTTAATCTTTGGCGCCATGTTAAAGGTACAGAGTTGGGGGATTTTTCTGAAAGATACAAGTAATCAGCAGGGATTTCAGGGATAAGAGTACAAGCTAGTAATTGATTTCTTCCTACTACCTCTTAGCTTCTCTTGTAAAGTTCCTTCAGACATGTACTCGTACACAAGAGCTGAGTGCTGCCCATCCTTGCAGTGGCCAACCAGATTCACCAAGTTCCTGTGATGAACTCTTATCAGATGCAGAGCCTGAAATGCAATTCAGAGTAGTTCTGTCAGTCAGTGACCAAGTGCATTTTATTTTGCAGCACATCCGTATATGGTTTGACGAAACTGAGAAATTCTTGTTATTAAAGTATTTGGATTTGATTAATTCTGCGCACACGATGGAAGAGAAAAAACACGCATAGGAATGAGGGGAAAGGAGCAGGAAGAAACCTAACCTCTGCCAAGAACTCATTAACCCCTTGAGATGACGATTCTGAGCGCGTTTTGACTGCAACCGGGGTTCCATCTTCCAAGTAGCCAAGATAGACTACTCCGAACCCACCTTTGCCAATGGACTTCTCGAAGCTATTTGTGATAGTCTTTAGCTCTTTGTAACTGAACTGGCGGGTATCGAATTGCAATGAGACAGCGTCTCCATTGTCTTCTTTTGATTTACTTCCATTCAGCGGTCTGACAGAAAGATCTGCATAGGCACTGCTTTATTAGCAACCAAGAACACGACACACTATATTTTTCCTGAACAATAATTAGACAACTAGTACTTGGTTTCTAGTCAACAGAAATCACCATTTTCAGTTCTTCTTCTGCGAAGGCAGAGTGTAAGAGTTACCACCACAACCACCAGTACAGAAAGTACAACGGCAGCCACAGCGAGATTTACGGCAGAAATCTTGGTAGGTTTTTTTCTTTGTGGCTGGTCATTGTTGATGCTGCTTATGTTCGCTTCAATTCTAACATCACCAAAAATAAGGATCACAAATCATAGTGAATACTGAATAGTGTTACAGGATATGTTGGGTACAGGAATGTTCCACTGTTTTTTTTCTGATATTCAGACACTGTTGTTAAAACCCTATTAAAAATGTTCAGATTTTTGATCCTTTGTTTGCTTTGCACAATAGGATTGTAAATGGTGACAATGAGCAGGTCCGTGATTATATATATTTTTTCTTCTGAACTATATATATAGGAAGATAATACTACCTTAATGAAAGTGCACCTTCTTGCGACCTTTTTAGAAGACTTTCTGGAACTGATCCATTGAACTTGTTGCCGGTCAAATCTCTGAGGGGAAACAGGGGACGGGATTAATGTTGGGCGAGTGTAACAGTGACAATGTTTCATCAAAGTAGTACAAATCTCATGGTCATTGATCTTACAGGACAGCAAGCGACGGTAGTTATGCAAGAAATTCAGGAATGTTCCCTGTCAAACTGTTGTGAGATAAATCCCTGAAAAATCAACAAATCTTCCAACTATTACCACTGAATGTGCAGCACAAAAATACTGACGGGGAACTAGAGTAGTAAAATAGATGATGCATATTTACAGGTTCTGAAGAGCAGTGAGATTGCTTAAAAGAGTGGTGATTTCTCCAGCCAACCCATTGGAGGACAAGTTTCTGCAAGAAAAGGCATCCCCAAAGGTTAAACATTTTTCAGTTATCTCACTATGTTACACAGTACTACTCCCTCCGTTTCAAATTACTCGTTGTAGAAATGGATGTATCTAGAACTAAAATACATCTAGATACATCCATACCTGCGACAAGTAATTTGGAACGGAGGGAGTATTATGCAGTATTTAGGGGTGAATTCTTCTCCTGGTTCGGTTCAAAAAGCATTTAGGACTGAATTTGCATCTTGCAGGTGCAGGAACTCACAGTGAGGTGATTCTTGGTGCGCTAGAGATTGCATAGTTGCAACCTACACCGTCCCACAAATATATCTTGGGGCCACACGGATCACCCATCCAGTTCCTCTTGATCTCATACTTGGCCTTGATGGCCATAATGGCACTCACTAGATCCCCCAAATCAATTAATAGAAACAACAAAATGTCAGCTTCCTTTTTTTTTGTGAATATGTCAGCTTCCTTTCAGTAACCATCACTGTGCATGACGAAATTCAGTTCAGAGACACCAATTTGCATGTATGAGGTCAGAGACCATACCATCTCCTCCATGAGTTGCACGCTCTGCAGTAGGCACCATGACATAGATCTCCAGCGCATTGAGCAATGGCGGCAGCGTCGAGTTGGCGGTCGGTTCGATCCTGAAGCTGTACTCCGTACTCCCTGCCACCATCCCGAACATTGAGCTGGAGTAACGGAACTCCGGGGAGAAGGGCTTGCTGTACCACAGGCCGTTGTTGAGGTAGACCTCGCAGATCCTCGCCTCGCTGCCGTTGAGCCGCCGGAGCTCGGCCATGTGAAGCACGGCGAAGTAGTCCAGCTCCTTGTTGGACTCGTACGCGCCCCAGTAGAACCGCAGGCTGAAGCCGTCGTCCACGGTGGCGGCCGTCTGCATCACCGCCGACGGCACCTCGAACTGGTCCCCGGCGACGTAGCGCACCGTGCCCGTCGTGTTGGCCGGGTTCCATGACCGCAGGTTCGCTAGCACCTTCCAGACGCGGTCGTGGGGGTCCGACGGGTACCTCACGATCGGCTTCTCGTCGTCGGGGCCGAGGTTGTACCGGCCGTGGACGGCCATGGAGAGGGAGGCATTCGCCACGACGGGGTATAGCGTGTCCGGGAGCGGGCGCAGCTCGAGGCCGGAGATGAAGGGCGTGCCGAGCCCCTTCTTGCCGACGAGGCAGACCTGGACGTAGTCGTCGGGCACGACGGCGATGATCTCCGCCTGGAAGGTGTCGGAGACGCTGGAGACGTTCACCGTCTGCCAGAAGTTGACGCCGAGGTGGAGGTCGAACACGGCGAGGCCGCCGGGGCCCAGCCCGTCGTAGTTCCCGTGCAGGAAGGTGGCGCGGACCAGGTACTTGGTGCCCGGCGTCAGGGAGCGCACGGTGTAGCAGTTCCGGGCGCCGGTGGGGAAGCTCCGGAGGTCGTTGTAGAGCCTCGGCAGCTTCAGGTCGATCATGCCGGCGTGCTCGGCGGAGATGTTGTGGCTGACGCCCGCGTCCACGAACTGCGCGTCGGGGACGTACGGCAGCCAGGTGACGACGTCGACGTAGCCGGCGCTCGGAGGGCTGCCGCAGTCGATGCTGATGAAACCTGGAGCCAAGCAGATCGACGGTGGCACCGCACGAGTGGGCAAGGTTTACTACTAGTTCGTCCAGAATCGAACTCCGGGGAGAAATGTGTGTGATTGCGGGCAGCTTACCGCGAGTGTTAGCTTGAGCGCGAGCATAGAGCACGACATGGGCGACGCAGATGGAGATGAGCGAGAAGACGGCGGCCGTCGTCCGCACGGAGCCGTGGCGCGACATGGCAGGCTAGCTGATGAAGTGATGATGACCTCCAGCTCCAGGTGCCTCCGTGATCTTGGAAAGAGAATATCAATGGATTAAAGGTAATGCACTGATTTATTTTGGGTTAATGCACGTCTTTGCGAATGTATTTTATTCAGGCCTATTTCGATCAATCGCGACGAACAGGGTGCCACGTTGTGGGCATTCAAATCAGTGCGTATTGGTCCGAAATCGGATACAAAATTCGTCCCTCGTGTCAACACGCGATGGTCTTTTCTAGATTTGTTGTGCGTAAAACATGCGTCATGGCTGTCTCCTACCCCTGCCAGAGCTTTGCTACATCTACGTAAAATCTCTTACGAATCTTACGTACAAGCTCACGTGGTCTGATTTGATTGGAACAAGATAAGACCCTGATCCATCTGACAAAATAGATGAGTGGACAGCTTTACGTAACCTGCTACGTAGATGTAGCATTTTTTTTTAAAGAAAATGATTCCAGCCCCAGTTCCATTTTCATCAAAAAATGAAATTCACAGAGTACAACATTTATTACAAACTGCGGGAGGAGATTGAGGCATCCCTCCGACATGGTTTTCAGAAATCACAAAACACAAACATCTAAAAAACAGGGCCAAGGCTAAAAGAACTATGTTGAAATGAGACTAACTACTTGCAGACCTCGCTATGGGAAGGAAACATGAGGCTAAATTTAACCATCAATGACCACGCTCTTCTCCATGCCCATCCACCCTCCCATCTTTTGGAGAGAGTATTGCAGCCAAAGTTCATTCCTCTTCAGCCTGGCTCTGGCCAAAGCAGCAGCGGTGTTCTTCTTGCAGCCTCCCATATAGCCACAATGATCCCCTCCACGCGCTCTCTTGCACTTCCTTTGCACAGGATCTTCCACAGGTTGCAAAAGCCTGCAATCCTTCTCAGAACCACCTGCACACCCATCCAGTTTGTGTTATTAAAACGTAAATTATTCTTGCATCTCCAGATAGCCCAGGGAGTAGCTGATATAGTCAGATTTTCGGCTTGCGGGTTTTTAACTTTTCCCCACATGTCTGTCACCTTATCAAAGGCAGGTAGGGGGATGCATCCTATGATGGAATGTATATTTTTTTCAGATCTCCCTAGCTACAACACACTCAAAAAACAAGTGGTTGATATTTTCACATTCTGAGCAGAACAAGCAAGATAGATCATCTAAGTGTTGCCTTTTTATAAGATTCTCTCTAACCAACAACTTATTATGTGGCAGCAGCCACAAAAATATATGAACGTTGGGAGGTAAATGGATTTTCCATATATCAAAAACATGAACTGGGCTAATGCCCCTAAAATTAATCATGGCATACATAGATCTAACTGAGTATTTACTATTTGACTCTAGTTTCCAAATTAAAGCATCATCATCATCACACACGACAACAGATTGAACAATGCTTAACAGGTCAAATCAGAGGAGAAGCAACCTATTATCTACACATCTCCTAAATGTGATTTTAAGGTTTACCACATCCCACAAATCAGAAATAACCTGATTGTAGCATTTTTGCCCCTACCATTACCGCACAGCGAGCCGAACACTGCTTTTCCTTAGAATCAACCGAACACTCTGCTGACAGGGAGCTCCTAAGGGCATCTCTAAGAGCAACACTAGCAGCACACACACAAAATAAGAAGAAGAAGAAGAAGAAGAAGAAGAAGAAGAACTCTAGCCGACGGCGTAAATCAGCCCGTCACGCAAAATAACCATCAATACACGGGACCATGACAAAAAATCGTCTCAATCAGGTCTGGCCATAATTTTTTTTTGCGGACACCTCCATATTTCAGCCTGTAGCCGTCAAATCTAACAACCCCCCTCCTCCTTTGTCGCTCCCTTTATTCGGAAAAAAATTCGGTGGAGACCGGCTGCAAACCTCCTCCCGTGCGACTTGGCGAGAGGGAAAATTCCTCCCCTTCCACGCCGCCCGCCTGCATCGCTGTTGTCGCAAATCCCTTCGGCCCCAAGCCGTCTCGCCTTGATGCGCCCCCAATTGCCGCGATGGGGCCGCCACAGCCCCCGGACGACGTTTCCATGTATTGGCGATCCCATTGGTGCCACCTTGCCTACTCCCTCCCGCCGTCGCTCACGCGGCCATGTTCCTCGCCGCCGCGCCTACTCCTCTTGCCGCTAGCGTGAAGCAGAAGCAGCAGGGCAACCACGTCGTCCATGGAGCTGTGGCCGCCGCGGTCATGAATCCTCCCGCCGCGGTCGCCGCCACGCGGACGTCCGCATCTTCCACCCCCTCCGGTGGACGTCCAAAGACCCAAGCAAAGGGGCCGGAGAAGAAGGTTGTGGCGGCGCGAGGACAGGCCCCACCTCAACCCCCTCCGATGAGCAATGTGTCACGCAATCCCATCGACTCCACCAACGCCAACGTGCTCGAAGAAACGCGGAGAGGTAAAGAAAATTATCTTTGCTCCAATGAACTTTGATTGAAATTTGCTTCGGTTTCTTAGTGTTTCAGCCGTCAGATTTTGTAGCTACACCATTGATACATCATATACCGAGTTGTTGGAGGAGAATGAGGTGGACTTGAGTGCTCCACTTGATGATTTTGAACCGGGTACCAATCCGGAGGTTCAAGCCGAGGTTGAGGAGGCGGATGACAACAATGATAAAATGAAAGAGCTTGAGGTGGAGGAGTTCGATACTAGCCAAGCCAAGTTTGAAAAAAGAACCGGCAATTACAGGAGGAAGTTTGCTTGATTCGAGCATGGGAGAGCTGTCACCCACCAGAACGAGCAACACGGCAGGCCCACAGGCGCCTCGAGAAGCCCATCCAGGGGTACTTTTAGCGTAATCGTCATATGTCGCCTGTACTTATGCTTATTACTGCTCGCCTACTGCATAGCGCTATTTGAGCCGGCCTAATACTGTAGCTTCGCTCGATTTTTTTAGTACTTCCCCCGTCCCAAAATAAATGTTGTCGTTTTAGTTCAATTTTGGAGGACCAGCCTTTTCACTGTTTTTATTAGTTTTCTTCGGTTCTTCTTTACCCTTTTCGTTTTCTTTTCTCTGCTTCACTTCGTTTCTTTCATTGTTTTTCACCGGTTTTCTTATGTTTTTTATTTTCTTTTTTATTTATTTTCAACACATATCTAATATTTTCATAGACATATTACATTTTCCTACAAATCAGAAATATTTCTCTATTCATGTTTAATATTTTTTAAATACATTATTTTTAATATATATTTTGATGTCTACTTTTTTCACACATATATATATATGTTTAAAATATATTTTCAAATACTTGTTTAAACATTTTTTGAGTATCTGTTAACATTATTGAAATACATGTTGAACTGTTTCTTTTGTATGATGCATGTCATTTATATAAACTATGCAAGCATTTTTTTGAAATATATAAATATTTTTAAATAAAGTCTCAAACATTTTATTTGAAATGTATGTATATTTTTGTAAATGTAATGTACATTCTTTTGAATAGTATGGAACATTTTCATGGCAGAAACATTTTTTACATTGTATAATGTTTTTAAAATATGCAATATACATTTTTTGCTACACTTGGACATTTTTGAAGTTTCAAAAACATTTGTTTGAATGGTACAAACATTTTCTAAGAGCTGAGCGACCATTTTTTTACACCGCATTATATTTTTAGTTGTGCGTTGAACACTTTTGAAAACTTAACTATTTATTTTCATAATATTTGTATTTATTATTTTCTAAACTTTAGAAAAGTAAAAAAGAATCATGTGTGCAACATCGGAGGGATGAGACATGTGGTTATTGCATCGGACCACTACTGGCTCGCTGTAGGTGACCTGGTCTTCTGCCTCGCATAAGGCAAGATATAGACTCGCCGATCACTAGTTAAGAGTCATCCCTTGCAAATGTCACTCCCCACCTTGTTAGGTGCTAGCAAGTGGTGTGTGCCACTTGTCCCAACGAGGAGGTTTCCTATTTTTTCGTAGATTCTTTTATTCGAAACGTTTTATCTCTTGAACAGTGTGTCCAAATACCGAATCCATTGTTGAGTTTCTTCACGTTGGGATCTTCAAAACCAGATCCCGTGTTAACAGGTTTTAGTAAACTTTTTCATGAAACAAAAGACAAGAGAAAAATGGATACTGAAAGAAAAACGAAAAAATGAAAGAAAAAACAAAAGTCTGCATGCATGGTTGCGTTTTCACTTGTTTGGGAAGCACAGACAATGCTTTTCCGAGGAAGCACGAGTTGTGCTTCTCGCGAAAGCAAATATGTGCTTCTCGTAGAAACACATGATGTGTTTTTCATATTATTATTTTTCGAAAAGCACAACTGTGGTTTAATTTTTTTTCACTAAAACCTAGGAAAAATCAGACAAAAACTTAAAAGCCAAGAAAACTCATCTTACACCCAAAACACATGTACACAATTTTTCTAAAAGAAAATTCAGAGGTAGCGTCCAACATGCGACATGTGGTAGCAGCTGAGCGCACCACTTGACGCGCTACCATGCCAGAAAAGTGACCAGTACGGGAGCCCCACAAGAGGTGACCTTTAGTTAGTTACTCTCTAGACTGTCCCTAGTAGACACTAAAAAAAAGACTATCCCTAGTTTTTTTTAGGGTTAGGGGTTCTCCCATCGGAATTCCTGTTGTATATTGAGGGCAGGGCGCAACAGCAGTGAACCGTGTGCTCGGCTCACTATGAGGCAGTGAACTGTGCTCGGCCCCAAGTAACCGACAGGATTGCGCTCGGCCCACTAACTCAATACATTATTTTCTAAAAAAAACGATCGGATTGCTCAGGAAACTTGGACCCCAAGTTACCGACCACACGACAAGAACTGACAAACACGACCACCAACCCGTGCCCGCCAAGGAAGGGAAGCCCCCGGTGCGTATAAATTGTCCACCGGCAGATCTGGCATCGACGAACAGAACCACGAAGCAAGCCAAGGAAACGAGCAAAGATGCGTCGGGAGGGACGGCAGCGAGGGTGGGTGCGCGTGTACGACCGCGAGCTGGTTGACCCGGAAGGCAAGCGCCGCGTCGTGCACGCCGTGGAGGGGCCGGCGGTGGCCAACGGCGGGTTCATCCGGGCGTCGCGGAGGCCGACCAACCAATCCAAGTCCGGCGGCCTCCGCGCGCTCGGCAGGAGCAGAATCACGCAACAGGAGGAGGAGGAGGAGCCGCAGGCCCTTCCGCCGACGATGGCCGTGCGCTTCGGGTACTACTACTCGACGGGATGGCAGTCGCCGTTCAAGTTCGAGTCCGCCATGTACAACTACAAGAAAGTGGAGATCCGTCCGCCGGCGGCAGCGCGCTTCGGGGGAAGATCGTCGTGCAAGGCGGGGCGCAAGTTCAGGCACGACGAGGTCAAGAAGTATTACCTCGACGCGGCCGACGTCCTCGACGGGCAGCTCGATTATCTTCATGACTTCGATTCATGAGCGCTCGGGACGGAGGTGCATTCACTAGTAGAAAAAGTGTCAAATGTGAAGCACATTAGTGTCGGTTTGAATTTGAGCCGACACTAATGTGACCATTAGTGCCGGTTTCAACGGCTAGGCGGACGGACATCATTAGTACCGGTTCGTGGACAACCTTTAGTACCGGTTCATGCCACGAACCGGTAGTAATGAGGTTGTGTGAGGCTATGGTCAGGCTGGGGCCCCCACGAAGACCTTTAGTACCGGTTCATGCCCTGAACCGGTACTAGAGTTTCTTAGTAAGCTGATTTTTAGTCCCACCTCGCCAAGAGAGAGGCAGTATGAGCGGTTTATAAGCCGTGAGTGCACAAACAATGACGAAGAGTTGCAATGCTCACCTGCATGTTGATTAGCTTCAAGCCTTGCGGAATAGCATAGATTGCACTGAGCTATGTGCAGTGCAGTCTACACTATTCCGAATGGCTTGAAGCAAATTAACCAGCATTGCACCTTTTTTTTGTTTTTAATAACTTATTTGAACTCCGGACTTCTTTTGTGTTCAGTATGCAGCATTCAAAGCGAAGTCATCAATTTCCAACATGTTCTGACATCATTTGTTGTTTTTCGGTCATTTACCTAATTGTTTAGAGAGATAAATGACCGTGAAATTATTGAGGGCGTGCATACTTTTCTGCTTGCGGCTAAGGTAAACAAGCGGGCGGATGGTTTTATGCCTTGTCCATGTGCTGGCTGTAAGAATGGTCACAATTACTCTACGTCAAGAACCATTCACGTCCACCTATTTAAGTCCGGTTTCATGCCCCACTATAATGTTTGGACCAAGCACGAAGAAAGAGGGGTTATGATGGAAGATACATGCATGCCCTAATGATTGCATCCTCTACCGCAAGATCAGCCGCGATGACCCTGATGATGTCGACGGCGAGCGTCCCAGGAAGAAGATTCCTGCCAAGTTTGATGAAATTGCTACATTCACAGTGAATATTGACCCGAGCATCCCGTAAAATGATGAAGATTTTCCATGGTTACGGCGCAAAGGGACACACGCGAAGAAAAAGTTTCACACCCAAAGATCTGGGATGTGATCGGCTTCACTATCATCACTTTCTTCTGTGTTTCACATCCAGAAGGGAATCTCTGTAATGGTTAGGGTAGTTAATTATGTGTTTTGGCATTTGAAACGTGAAGAAATTTTATGTGCAAACAAATTCTTTCACGCCTTTACTGATTTTTAAAGTTAAGTTATTCACAAACTAGTGATTCACACTAATTTCAAATAATTCAAAATTTAAACTATTCAAATTTGAAAACTACGGGCACTAACAGAAACTTTGTAATTTTTTGTACCTAAAGCAAAAATATTCACAAAGAAACTCTAAATACACAAAAAAAACAACTCAAAAATAAATAAAGCAAAAAAAATAAAAAAAGCCCGCCTACTAGGCCAGAGCGGCCTGCATACGACTAGAAACCCAACCTGTTGTTGGGCCAGGATGCAGGCCCGCAAAGGCCCAGTAGGCCAACAGGGCAGCACAGAACATGTACGCCCAGTAGGCCTGCTTTGGAGAGGAGCTCGAGAGAGCTACCGCACGGGGGTTTATAAACCAGTGCGGTCGCCCCTCGGCTAGCGAGGTGGGACTAAACTTACGCACCGCACCTGCGCCAGCGCACCCCCTTTACTACCGGTTCGTGGCACCAACCGATACTAAAGGGGATGCGGTTCCCACCGCTTGGCCTGGCCAAAACAGGTCTTTAGTACCGGTTGGTGGCTCCAACCGGTACTAAAGGTGCCTTCTATATATACAACACTTACGAAAATTTCATTCTCCATTTGTTTCTTCCTCTGTTTCCCCATTGAAGCACCGCCCGCGCGCCCCGATCGATCGACGCCATCGCCGTCGCCGCCCCCGTCCCCGTCGCGCCGCCCCCGCGTCGCCGCCCCCGCGTCGCCGCCCCCGCGTCACGCCCCGGCCCGTCGCCGCCCCCGGCCGTCGCCGTCGCCCCGCTGTGAGCTCTCCCCCTCTAACCCCTCTCCCTCGCCCCCGACGGCCACCATGGGCGCCGCCCCTCCCCGAGCCCATACACACACACACACAAGCATGATGAACACACGCACACACACGTACATATGTATGAATTAATGCATGTATATATTAGTATATACGTATTTTGTATGTTTAATTAGTTTAGATTTTTTAGATTATTATTTTTTCACTAGTATATATACGTATGAATGCATGTTAGATGGATATAATTAGTGTTTAATTAGTATGGAAACTTTTAAATAATGTTGTTTTTCAGTTTTTTAATGGATGTATAAAAGTTGTATTTTCTGTTTTTAGTGTTAGATGCTTAATTAGTATGAAATAGCATATAAAATTTTGACATATGCAATGATAGCATAATTAGTGTTATATAGAAATGTTAGAAATTTTAGTTATCAAAAACCAATCATTAAAAAAATGTTACTTTTTGCGGGCATATAGCTAGTATTTGTTCTCGACGATACCCGGCCCGCATCCTCGACGTCGACCCGTCCATGACGACGTCTGACTGACCCATGTCCGGGACTGGGCTCCACCGGGCTGGCACTGGGAGGTGCTGCCTGGAGGGGCGCGCCGCTTGATGAGGAACCCGGCCCCGGGTCCCGTCGTCGACCCTGATCTCGTTTGGTGGCGTTCGCGTGGGCCAGTTTCGGTGCGAAGGGAGCCGGCCCCGCCGGAGGTGGTACGTCGCCGTGTCAGGGAGGAGGACGAGCACGTCCATCACTACATGGTTGCGTTAGAGGGCGGCAGGTTCTCCAATACCTGGCGGTTTCTTCGGGGATCTCACTTCAGCTATGATCCTGTGAGGGTTCCTTCTCTTTGGGTGTCCACCGCCCGCGCCGCAGGAACCGCGAGTGTCCTAGATTCTTCTGTAGTATTCAATCTTTAATTAGCTACCTAGCCAGTGATGTACTATTCAATATTATATATTATTCGAGACGATGTATTCGAGATTATATCTATTATTCGAGACGATGTATTCGAGATTATATCTATTATTCGAGACGATGTAATTTGAATACTAAATTGTTTTATATTTCTTTTGGCATAGTTAAATAAAAGCTATGGCGGACAATACCGACAGAGAGGGACAATACAAGCTCCTAGAAACGGAGCACGTAGAAGCACTTCAAGAGGAAATAGTGAGATTTTTGCTCGACCAGGTCATAAATCCGAAGGGAGAATACTATTACCCGCTACCGCCCCCATCGACCAGGTCATGAACCACTTCCAATTGTCATCGTGCTCCGAAGGCACCAATTACGCTAATGCCACTGGCTCCGAAGGCAACATGCATATATAGGAGAAATTGTATATAGCTATACATGTGTGTATGTGTGAATTAATATGGTGGTTTGTGAGACATTGATGATATATATATGATTGGTTCTACTAGAAATTCTATTTATATATATATATATATATATATATATATATATATATGCATAACGTGTACAATGTGTAGTATCGTAAAATACCAGCAAACGAAAAAGAATTAAAATGAAAAACACAAAATTAAATAAAAAAGAAATCATAAAACCAAAAACCCCCCAAACATTTTAGTACCGTTTGGTGTTACCAACCGGTACTAAAGGGCTCCCGGCCCCTGGAGCTGGCTTGTGCCACGTGGTTGCCTTTTAGCACCGGTTCATGCTGAACCGGTACTAAAAGGGGGGACCTTTAGTGCCCACATTTTAGTGCCGGTTATGAAACCGGCACTAAAAGACCTTACGAACCGGTGCTATTGTCTGGTTCTGCACTAGTGATTGTCCAGTCCCTATGCCAACAGAAGGATTTTTGTTTTTGCTTGTCAACTTCAACATGAGGAATGGGGAGTTGTATACTGGATCCAGTGGTGTATCTAATAAAAATGAGACTTTTTTTGTGCAAATGTAACAAAAATGAGACTTCAGTTTGTCTTTTTGTTTTTTAAATACAGTACAGACGCAAGCGCTCATACATACGCGCGTACACTCACCCTTATGAACGCACATACGCACACCCTACACCTATGAGTCCTTGTACAATGGGAGATACTTAGGGAGGTGCTTAGAAAAATTAACCGGGTTTTTCTGAAGCATCGGTGCCTATTTTTATAGGAGAGACGCTTAGTTAAGCGTCTACCATGTACAAAGAAGCACCGGTGCTTAAGGAAATTCTGGTTTATTTCTCTAAGCACCTCTCCTAAGCACCTCCCATTGTACAAGGCCTGAGCATCTCCGGAAGACTGAGCCGGCATATCATCTTGAGATGAATCACCATAGGCGTCTTGTCGTCAATGGAAACATCTAACACTATCCCTCTAACCTTCCAAGCACAAGTTGGTTCACGACTTCAGTTCATCTTAAAATGACACTCCAAGATAGTGCCTCAGTACGACGACGTGTATGTATTCAACTTTCTGTGTTTGATCAAATTTATAAAAATACCAACGATACCTATGTATTAGATCTATCATGACATCTATTTTCATGTTTTATTCAGTTAATACTGTAGATATTGATAGTTTTTCTATGAACTTAACCAAACTTTACATCCAAAGGGAAAAAATGACTTATATTTGAAACACATTAGCTATTGTACTCTAAGTCTCTCATCCTTCAAGTAAGAAATATTCCATCAGCGCCTCACCGGAGAAGCAACAACATGTGGGTCTATCTTAGAATGGCAGACTCGCCGGGTGTCTGGAGGTTCGCTGGGGTTAGAGGGATGGCTAAAGGCGGCGAAAAGCAGTTCGCCCACATGCTATGACTGTCGTGTGGGCGAAAAGCAGTTCGCCCACATGCGCCTGGACTAGGTGATGGTTGTGTGGGCATAAACTAGTTCGCCCACACAGGGCAGCTGGTAACCGTGTGTTGTGGGGCGTGTGGGCGACCTCTCCAACGCCCAAACATCGGCCTTGTCCTATGTGGCACGCGAAAACTGCCTCGGTGTGTCAAGATTCGTGTAAACTTA